AACCACATGTTATGTGAAACATTCTATAAGAGGTGAGGAAATTGAATGAAGCAGTGGTAAAATCTAACCATATATACAAAATTGTATATTTTGGAAATACCAACTATACAAAATTGTATATTTTGGAAATATCAAATATACAAAATTGTATATTTTGTATATATGGGTATTTTTTCTTGTGTTCGTGAAAGTGAATAACCTTTAATTTCTTCTTCAGGACACACTTCTGCCCAAAGGGTATCTTCGTGACACTCATTTGCCACTGAATATTTAATTAGAACTCTTCCGCCTTCAGGCTAATCTTTGTGACAGTGAAATGCCACTGAATATCTTCTGACACCCTGTGAATACATGTAACAATATATCTGTCTATCTACCTTGTATACTGACACCCTGTGAATACATGTAACAATATATCTGTCTATCTACCTTGTATACTGACACCCTGTGAATACATGTAACAATATATCTATCTATCGGAGTTGCATACTTACACCATATGTGTACATGTAACAATATATCTGTCTATGTACCTTGTGTACTGATCCCCTGTGAATACATGTAAGAATATATCTATCTATCTACCTACGATGCATACTGACACTCTGTGAATACATGTAACAATATATCTGTCTATCTGCTCAGTATACTGACCCCCTGTGAATACATGTAAGAATATATCTATCTTTCTACGATGCATATTGACACTCTGTGTGTGCATGTAACATTATATCTATCTGTTTACGTTGTATGCTGACACCATGTGTGTACATGTATCTAATATATCTATCTACATTGTATACTGACACCCTGTGAATACATGTAACAATATATCTATCTATCTACTAGTACCTTGTATACTGATCCCCTGTGGATACATGTAAGAATATCTATCTATCTACCACGATGCATACTGACACTCTGTGTGTGCATGTAACAATATATCTATCTGCCTACGTTGTATACTGAAACCATGTTTGTACATGTAACAATATATCTGTCTATCTACCTTGTATACTGACACTCTGTGAATAAATGTGAGAATATATCTATCTATCTACGTTGTATACTGACACGCTATGTAAATGTAACACTCTATCTATTTATCTACTCAGTATACTGGCACCCTGTGTGTACATGATTCGTGCACGGTGAGCACATGCGTTGTCGACCTGAAATGATGTGTATGATTTTGGGTTCGAATACCGGTTCGGCCCGATTTTATTTCTTGGTTTGTCAGCGCCATGCCCGTGCTCGTGGTTTTCACCAAAGTTCGGGCTTTGCTCCCACACTAAGCTGACACGCCGTCATTTAACTGTAATACTGTTCAAAGCGGCGTTAATCACAACTCACACACTCACTCCACAACAAAAGTCATGAGGTCTCAGGTTGTCAATGGCTTGACGTTTATTTCGGCGTCGCCAGACAGGACAACGCCTATCAAGGAACTGCAAAGTTTCGACGTTGTGTACACCATTGATACATTGGTGTTGTTGGCAACATGATAATTTTAAAGGGGCGGCACAACACATGGAGATGAGCTACAAGTAGACGATTTCTAATTCTCTGACGCGTAACTCGTACTCCTGTAGCCCAATGAAAGGTTGCAATTTCATTCGCCGTTTGGTTTGAGCTCCATTTCGTTGAGTCTAGTTTCGAATTAATCGATCATATAACTCTTACCGTTGACCTCGGACGCCCTGGACGGGGTCGATCGTCAACATTTTCGGTTTATAGGTGCCTGTTCCATTGTTTGCTAATCACAGACTGTGAAACATTAGACGTGTTGGCCACTGCACGCTGACCTCTGCCAGTTTCCTGCATGCCAATAGCCTGTAGACGCTCCGCGCACTGCAGACGCCGCATCGCTAGTTCATACACAAACAATGAAATCAAGTTAATCACAACTGTATGGTAATCAGATCAATAAGATTCAGATAAATAATGGCCCACAGAGATTAATCGACCTTCCTTGAACGTGTCAAAATCAGGGATGACACCCTACGCAAGTGAGGCATGTGCAAACTATAGGATGTGTTTTGGTGTTGTCTCACACACATAAACGTTCTTGCATAGACTGTTTGTCGTCAACAATTATATTTGTTCTAATACTTGGTATTGACATTGAAATTTCAAGATCCCCTAATTTCATTTTGAGTATATATGGCTACGTTGTATTGAACGTACATTTAGATTTATGGGTCCAAATGACTAGATCCTGGTGTTGACTACTTTTTGCTGAATAGTGTTTGCGGAATACGCGTTCTTGATATCAGATGCCAAACTTCCCTGTTCCCTGTCACAAAAGCATTCAACCTGTTACCTAAACGCGAATACCAATTCAAATTGACAATTTAATATAGATATTAAAACGTTTAAAAACAGTGCCAAGGCACTGTAGCTGACTTGGATAGGTAATCGAGAATTTAAATTAAAAAAACTTGCAGCATTATTTTCTAATAGTCTCTGCATGCATCCTGAGGAGTAAATGACAGTATACCGTCCTGAGGTAAGTCCCAAATCGGAGACGCCACACACTCTGTTTCAAATGGTTGCTCTTAGTGCCAGAGTCCCTATACTATCTGAAATCCTCTTAAACGTTCCAACCAAACATGGAAGGTATCTAAGTACCCTTCTCTATCAACCTATTTCTCTGATAATGCTGTATAACCTCCAACTTTAAAAACGATAACTTTATACGATACTTATACGATAAGTTTAATTTTTTGCAATGATTTTCTACTGAGGGGGGTCTCTCTGTTTATAACCAGATATTCACGTGGAGTATAGGATATCAGACTGTTATATACAATTGTCCTCTTTATGGAAGTCGGCGGGAAATGTATATCACAAAGACAGGTAATCATCATTATATTTGTTTAGAAAGACTTTGTCAACTGTCCAACAACGATAAAATGATAATTTTTACAAGATTTCTTATGTACGTGTTCTCAACCCACAAAAATATCAATTAGATAAATATAATGTAAATGTTTTTTTGTACAATGTGTCTAATGACATTTATACAAACAAATCTGTTTGTCTGTCTGTCTGTGGTAAAGCAGTTGCCTGAGATGGTGATAATCCAGATTTCTGTAACTCAGACACTTATAATTTTGTTTGTCAACAGGACTATAAACAGTTACGCGCATGCCCAAAGATAGTGGCAAAGCATGCAAGTGCTACTGTTTCTTTCAGATTAACGGATAAAAGACCAAATTTCACAGGCCTTTTTTAACCACACCTGGCCAAAGCAACGTTGTCTTTGTTGGCTGCCCAAGCATGTTAGCACAGTAGATATATGAAAAGCTGATCCTGCAGCGAAAGCAGCTCTGGACAAACCGTTCTTTCCACTTCATAATTCCTATATAATTCTTAATGCAATCAAAGAAGGAATTTCTTTTTACTCACATAAAGCATCTGAGACAAGTGGATTCTCAAAAACCTTTATTACTTTATTGTTTCCAATCTCGTTTGCCTTTGGGGTTTCACATGCATGCATGCTCGATTGTACTTCGGAAGTTTTGAAGTGTGGACACCAAAGGCTGGAATATAGCTCTACATAAAGGGAAATGTTCCTATTGGATATATCTACATAAAGAAAACAGGAGTACCTTATCCCTCCCACAAGAAGGACAATTCACTTCAGTTCCCGATTGTTTGTTTTTTCATCAAGTTAAGTTTGTACAGTGTGGTTCTACAAGATGACTGCTGTATAAACTATGTCTATGGGGGTTGTTCTCTTTAATGTGACGATGTATTTTGTGTTGTGAGAATAACTGGTGAAACATCGTAAAAACAATGAAATCGTGCTGATTCTTTGTTTCTTGGTGTACTGAAGCCGAGGTTATTTATTTTCACTGATTGTGGTCCGAGACTTATTTAACGTATGGAGGTCAGGAGATTGAGTAACAATGTTAAACATATCAAACCCCTAGAGGCAGAGGAGAATCCTCAGCACTTGGATCGAGATTCCTCTCTTTTGACATTTCAGGATAAATATATTATCACATGAGCATGCTCTTTTCAAGATTTCAAACAGAGTCATACTAATCTTGCTCAGTTTGATTACAACGTTCAATGCCCCAGTAAAGCTTTCAAAACGTTTTATGGTAGTCACGTAGAGGACAGTTCCAAAATTGGAGCATCAGTGACAAAAATGATGTAAGATGCAATTACTTATTTTGACTTGTACTATATGCTCCCGTGTGTTTTCAGGTGAACATTTGACTTGCCTTTGTATGTGTTTGTAAAGGGGGACACCGGTGGGGCAGGATACCTTTTCGCGAACACCTGGTATTATCACTATTTGAAAGAGATTAATAAACACATGCACATGAAAGAGGCGGAATCATACAGTCGACTCTGCTTATGGCAGACATTTCTTATGGATATGGAAAACGTTTTTCGCTTTTATTTATATATAATCCTCAGATTAAGTAGACCTTGCTTGCCCGTAGAACCAACGTTTATTGTAGTTGACAAAGTTGGCTATACTTTTATAGTTTGTTTCACATTAGATTTGTGACATTTATCGACAGAAACTAATAAGATTATCTGTCACTTCACAGTCCTGGATTCATGATACATTTATAAACCATATAATGATCACATTAGTTACAAAAGGACAAAAGGACAAAATGTACGTCTTAATCACCAAATACATTTGCCCAAGCCGTGGATTCGAATTAATCATGTTAAAAGATTATGATTTTCACATCATTGATCCTGGATGTATACTTACACTAAATGTCAGTGAGGACAAAATATTTTTCTCCCCTCTGTAATTGATGAGTATGGAGATAATGTTTGATACATTATCTGTAACGTTGATTGATTTCGCTATAAAGAAATCATATTCAATTTTGTGTCAGCAGACAGGTCAAACGGTGCTTTCACCTGTTATATATTGAACAAATTGATTGGCAATACACGTGGTACATGTCTCTTATTGGATTGATGTTCCAAACTAAACATTAAAACATGCAAGCCAACTTGCATGCATTCCATAACCAGGCAGTGTTTTGGCAGTGTTAAAATAGCTCAATACGTGTAAGGAATCGACAGCTGAAGATCTACGTAATGAAAATGTCGTCTAGCCATGGTGAATTTGTTTTCCTAATTTTAGGAATCATGAAGTTAGTCCATGGTGACAACTGTTTTGACGTAGATTCTGTAGTTGAGCATGAAAAGTATATGGAACACCAGTTGTTCAGGAAGTTCTGGAGTCCGTCTCTCTACGACTGCGCATCAGAATGTCTCATGTCCTCAGCATGTGCGTCATTTGGATTTGACAAGAAAATGCACACCTGCCTTCTCAACACTAACAGTAGTGAAGCTGGTAATGTTGTAGACAGAACTGGATTCCTCTTCAGTGATATTCAACAATGGCCAAAGGTTGGTGCTCACAGTTTACTTTTTTCTCTAATTACAGGTCATCTTGTTTCCAGGGCGAGATGTTGTTGCCATACTGGAAACCTCATTTTCCCACAGTGACAATGTTTACAATATTTGTCACCAAAGGGGGGTTCCGGTGTTAAAGGTATAGAAATGATAAGAAAGTCTTTGGATAAGGGGGGCACTTATGGCCCAGTCGTCTAAGTTACCGCAATCCGCTGTGCACTGTTGCGACCCTTGGGAACACCAGAATCCCATGATTGTGGGTTGGAATCCCGGTTTGCCGCGATTATATTTTCTTGGTTTGTCATCACCATACCCGTGGTCGTGGGTTTCACAATAGTGGTGATCGTCTGAAACCTGCATCACTTCGGGCTTTCCTCCAACATAGAGCTACATCCAAAAACAAGTTACAGATTAAAAAATATGTTATTAGTATTTCAAACAAGATTTAAAAGCAATATGTCAAACATATTTAAGCATGACAATACTGTTTATGATTGGGTGTGAAACAGGAGCTATAAGTTACAAGAAATCTTTCTTCATCACTAAGCTATCTGTGGTTGTGGACAATACTAGCCAATACTGACCATCAATTCGTGGTCTAGTGGATAGAGCGTCTGCCCAGAGAGCGGATGGTTCATGGGTCGATCCCCTGGCCGTGTCATACCAAAGATGTTGAAATATTATACTTGCTGTTGCCCTGAATGGATGTCGGCATTAATAAAAAAAACAATATAATGTATCTGAGTGGGGTATGTATGTATAAGTATAATTATATATAAAAGTGACAAAACGTATTCCTATAACAATAAGAACTCTCTGCTGAAAGCATATGATATTAGACGATTCCGACTAAATCATTAGCATGTATTTCTGAATCACTTTCGAATAGTTATGATACCAGCTGTCCGCCAAAAGGTGAGCGTATCCTGCCTCACCAGTGGCACCCGTCACAAACACATACAAAGGCAAGTCAATTGTTCACGGGAAAGATAATTGACTGATTTCACCATTGTTGTCTCAGTAAACTTCATTTGCTTTCTTTTTTGACAAATTGTCCTGAGCCTTTGAAGATAGAGATGTGACAATGCCTATAGTCACCACTTTAAGTAACACATGCCCAAGGGATCAAGATATTCTGTTTGCGATGAGTTGGTCATGTGAGATTGTGGGGTGTACAAAGTTGAAAAATACAACGTTTTGATATTATTGAACTTGCTTCTTTTCTGATTGCAAAACTTCAAGCCAATAGTTTGACTTTTGTGAATCATCAAGGTGTTCATTCCACTTGTCTTAAATACTTCCTGTGGAAAAGTCACTCCTTGTATGAAGGATTATAGTTGATCTATGTACGTAAGACTGTAAGGGACATTCTCGCGATCTCAACTTTTGGAAACGAGCCAAATATGCCAAAAACTTGAGAATGCGAGATCGCGAGATTTGGTCAAAATCTCGCGTTCTCGTGTTTTTGGTACATAGCACTTTTTATCAAAAGTCGACAACGCCAGAATGCGACTTTCGGACATGATGTTAAATCTCGCAATCTCACAATCTCGACTTGTCATATTAGGCCACAAAAAAGTACAAAGTCGCGAGAAGGAATAAATACGACTTTTCATTTTCTCTCGATCTCGCGTTCTCGCGCTTTAGACGGTGTCCGTGCACATGAGTTATATCATAAGGTCAAGGCGCATGCGCAGGCGCTGGGCTACTAGCCCTGTGGTCATGCTTCTTACGCTCTTCATTCAAGTAGCATTGAGCAAATGTATGACTTGAGCTTGAAAATGCTATGTAATAAACATCCACAAAGTCCTATGTAGAGTCTTCTCCCATTGTTACAGTTTCCTATGTTCTTAGAATTTAAACCCTAAACATGCTCAATATAATTTAACAAAAGAAAATATGTAAATGAATGTCCAGTGATAGTGAAAACATTAAAGTGTCCGGAAGCTGGAAACCAAAAAAAATGAAATGGTCCGATGTTTTACACGACACCATATTCGCTACTTTAGGCCACACACAATTAATTAATAGATTTTCATCCGCTCCTGTCCTACTACAAAACATCCCACCTCACATTATTCTATCGCCTCCAAGTTCTTTGAAATAGAAATATCGCTTACATGCGTGTTCCTACTTTTTTTACTGCACACACATAGCCCTACCGAACAGGGCTATCCATATCTATTCATATCTATCCATATCTATCAACCGATGTCACTTCGTAGTACATTATTGTCAGAACAATAAGATCTGTGTACATCACGTCCATTGTGATACAAATTTAACATTACCTTGTCCGGAAAAATGAAATTTGATGATTAAAAAAACAATGCAGATGACAATAAAACTGATCGCCCAAACGCATCACGGCAACAGCCTTGGTAACCCGATGCACGTGAGTTCCGTGCAAACTGAAATGGACATGCGTTCCCCCATTTCTTGTCCTATAAAAATCCACCCAGATCGAAAAACATTCATTCGTTATTGAATTGCTACCACATACCAAGATTGACAGGAAATCAGCGAGACAAAGTCCTTTGACGATTGCAAGCGGGACAAACCGCCCGGCAAGTAGCCAATGCATTTCAAGTCCACGTAAGGATCATATACAGGCTCCAGCAACGGTACCAGACCACCAACACTACATCTGCCCGACCACGTAGTGGAAGACCAAGGGTCACCACCCGACGTTAGGATCGTCAGATTGTGCGACAGCATCTTCAAGATCGCTTTGTTTCTGCGGCGGAAACTGCTCGACAGACCATGGGGTACACCAGCGACACATTAGTGCGGACATCGTGCGTCGACGAATGACGAGCAGACACCTCCACTGCCACAGGCCACACCAAGGACCCATTCTGACACCACGTCATCGCCGGGACCGTCTTCACAGCACCAGCACTGGCACCACCAGCAGTGGAGAAGAGTCTTCTCAGAGGAGAGCCGTTAGTGTATCTCAACAGCAGATGGCAGAGAGAGAGAGAGTCTTGCCACGCCGTGGGGGACGTTATTCGGATGCTTGTGTTGTTGAGAGAGAAACGGGGGGTGGTCCGAGCATCATGGTGTCGTGTGGAATTGGTCTTGCATGATAACGCCTGTGCCAACACTGCGAGAGAAACAACAGACTTCTTCCAGCAGAATGGCATCAGAACCTTGCAGTGGCCTGCCTTCAGTCCCGATTTAAATCCCAATGAGCACCTGTGGGACGAGATTCAAAGACGGGCCGTGTTCACGGAAAATTTAAATTCCCGTGAGTCAGTGCGCTCATACCACAATAAGTCCAGCTTGGCCCTTCGATCAGCCGGAGCTACAGCCCGTTATCGCAGCTGGCCTTTGGTTATATCATCTAACATGGCAAAGTGAGCAAGAACCTAATCAGTGAGGGGTCCTTTATCCTCCTATTCGCCTTCTTGTGGAAATCTGATATCTCAACTCACAGCCGGTTAATATATACAGTATATATTTTGCGCTAAATATTCGAAACCCATTGAGTGGGCTGGTTTCAACGACATATGTACAGGGCCTCTATTTGAAATGGCTACAGCTCTCCAGTTTGAATACAAGTGTGTGTGTGCTGTTTAACGCCGCACTCAGCAATATTTCATATTAGTAAATGTTGTTAATGTGAACGGGATATTAGCTATATTAGGCTAATACACCTTGGACAATTTGACTTGGCAGACAAATTTTTAAATACATGATAGAATTTGTATGAACTAAGAATGCACCCGCACCTTGTCCCCCTTTTAACCAAAGTCTTCTACTAACTTGTTTTCTCGTTTCCTTCTAGTCTCTCTCTGGTCGGTGCAATCAAGTTGCGTGTCCCGAAAACACCCGGTGTGAAGTAACTCGACTTGGTCAGTCAACATGCGTTCCAGGTAACCATTATGTTTCCAATGAATCAGCAGGAGATGCACACAGTAGGAAGGTTTTGCCTGGTCCCAACTGGAGATGCTGTAAATTATTTGGATCAGTTGCCTGATCCCTTTCATGATTGGTAGATAGATATGAGTGAAAAAACATTTCCGGACAAGCAGTTTGCCAATTACGACGAGTAGCAAATGCAGTATATATTTCATAAAGAGTTTAAACATTGAAATTGAATGGTTAGGTCGCAAAAGTTTAAGTCAATGTCGAAAGTGTGTGTCAATATTTTATTGCGCTGTTATGAATACTTCTGTATGATATTGGACAATAAACACCTCACTTTCAATCAAGCCTCGTAGTTTTGGTACTTTAGTCGAGTCAATTTGATGCAACTGATATCGAAAGACACTTTGTTGAAATTCTATATACATACATAAAATACACATGAAAAGGGAACGATTATTTTTCAAACTATCGTCAAAGTCTGATTGAGATAAATATAAAATAGTATGATAATGACAAAACAAAATTATTCAGTTTTTGTTGTTGTTTTCTTTACCAATCCATGACAACAGTTCCTTAACATTCAACTTGACTTTTCTGTTTCCTGAAATATCACTTGAACATCTGTAGAAAACTTATTTGTTGTTTAGGGCCTGGGACCTTTGTTGTAGATACCTCAGATATCAATCCACTGATGCTTGAGAGGAGGGGGGTGTCGCATTCATATTGAGTCGCATTTTGGGCGAGGGGCCAGTGTTCGCATTCTTTTGGAGACGCATTAATTTCACGATTTACAGTATATATTTTTAGTAAACACGTGTTTTTCAGGACACTCTGAATGTCTAGCGAACAAGTTGTTCTGTAGGGGTTAAACCTGAGGACAAAACATGACCTGGTGTCATCATTGATTCCGTGATCCATTCATATAATTGCCTTCACTATTTTGATTTTTACGCCCTTTTGAATTTGTTTCGGTAAATACAAGTAATCGAAACTGAATACTTATGTTGACGTTTTATATTTTAAACATCCCTTTTGACATATTGACGTGGATTTCAATACAAAGCCTTGTGACTTATCTTCTCAAGAGTTCCAAGGGTGTGGTCAACCCCCCGGTGTTAAAGGCGCCACCATAACTTATGATGGTCACTACCAGGGAGCTGTGGCAACCTACTCCTGTGAACAGGATTTCAGAGTCTGCCATAACAATGTTACCAGCACCTGCCAATCATCTGGAGCGTGGGAGACTCCGTCAGGTCTGTGTGGACAGTACAGGTGGCACAATCCGGTAGGTGAAATGCTATTTTCGTCTTAGTTTCTGTCACAAATCAGATGTAGAAGATAAAATTCAATATTAAATCTGCAACAAACAATGTACAACAGGTTTAACGCATTGTCCCACCTGAAACAAAGTAGCAACATAAAAGTAACGTATCTTCGTAAAAGACCAAAATCGGTAATTATGCCCCGCCCATAAAACATTGAATCTGTTCATAACTAAATATTACTGAACGAGGGATTCGAAGGTGTAGATCTACCGATTAATATATATATATATATATCATAGTAAAATCAGAATATTACATAGCGAATTCGAAGTTCGAATGTTAAGCGCCTGGTAACATTTGATGTAAAAACCTCTTCTGTCCAACGTCCTAATCAACAATCGGATTTCGGACATGGATCGTGAAACTTCTTTCAAGTGTTTGTGTTGTCCTTGTCACGGTAGCCGACTCACTACGGCAAATATCACGGCTACAATTCTTGATTCCCTCCCAGCCGATCAATGCAAATCAATGACCATGACAGTAGCATGCCATGGGAATGCGCGCGCACGCACGCACGCACGCACGCACACACACACAAAAGCACGCACGCACGCACTCACGCACGCACACACACACACATCGGTGGTCAAGCTCGGTGACTTAGTTAATTGCATGTCATCGTTACGAACTTTCTAGAATTTTCAATTCTACTTTGTTTTGCATTGTCATGTCTTGTTCAGAGTGCGCCGTCTGACAACAAACAAATTAACGTTTAACCTCTTGGACTCAACTCCTGATGTCGATCACTGGATCGTCTGGTCCAGACTCGATTATTAACAGACCGCCGTCAAACAAACAAACAAACAAACAAACAAATAAACAGAACTTTTCAAATATAGTGATTCCGATCATTCAAACACAATGCAATACTTTGATTTGAATCTAACTTTGTACCGACTTCGCAAAAGCAATCACATCCTTTTTCGTATTTCTGAAACTGGGAACAGACAAATTCGCTTTATTTGTTTCTTATAGGTTAAAGACAGGTATTCATTTCCATGTGGTCCATCAAACAAGTTCCGACTGATAATCAGAGGGACACTTACAGCCGAAACAAGGTAATGAATGCTGACCGTATTTGTTGTTTGTTGACCGGACCTCGTATAATGTTGACCTTTGTAATGACCTTGATTTTGAGTGTCCACTATTATCAAAAAATAAAGTTACAATTCACACCGTGACATGATACAATCCTTTTCAAATTCTCAATAAAATGTTACAGAGCATGACATTTGTTTCTATTTGATAGTTATTCATAAACACATGCTCATGATGTGGTCGGAATCGTAAGGTCGACAGTCATACAGAAGAGATTTCTTATGAATATGGAAGGGATTTTGTCACTTTTATACAAAAGATTAAGAAGGATACTTTTTGATTTTTTAAAATTTCAATGTATTCTTGAAATGAATATATGTCCGATCGTAATCATTTCGTTTCCGGAGCGTAACTCGATAACCTTCCAATATTTTTCAACCACAATTGGCAGATATATCAAACAGATCCCGAAGAGGTGCCTTTTGCTATTTGCGGATTTTTTGCATTTTTGTTTTTCTCGATTTCAATGGAAACAATCTGGACAAGTCTCAAAAGGGTGAGAGATAGGTGTCGTTTCCGGAGCACAACTTGAAAACTGTATAAGACTTTTTATCCAAACCTGGTACATGTATTAACCAAGGGCTGAAGTGGTGCCTTTTGCTATTTCGGAATTTTTCAAAATTAGATTTTTCCTCTTTTCATGGCAACAAGTTTGACTCTGTGCATAGTGATGTGTTTGTCCGGACCATATCTCTAAAACTAATAGATATTCTGTCCTCAAGCTATGCACACACACATAGACCAGGTTGCCAAATAGTGCCGTTGGTTTAGGGGTGTTTAGAATATATATATTTTTCAGTTTCCATGGCAACAAGTTTGTCTTTGACTCTGATTTAGAAATACAAAGTTCCGAATCCCTATTCCATGGTATTGTTTTGATAGCTCGACAACTACTCTTGTATACAGACACACAGATTAGAAAGAAATTCTCTCAAGTTGGATTTAAAGTAACAGTCAGATGATTTGTTCTTTCGAATTTGTGGGGATCGGGGGGATATGTCATCTTCTGATGACTCTTGTTCTCATAACTGTGAAAGCCAAAAGGTATGTTACGTTTCCTCACTCTGTATGCTTGTTTGTGTTTCAACTTAATGTTTAGATTAAAACGAAAAGGTTAACCTGGAAATCAGTACGTACGTAATTTGTGACAAGAACAATGAATATATTGCAACACACAGTTTGAGATTTATAATAAAACAGGCATTACAAAAAGTCAAATAAGTGGCAGCAGCAGAAGTAACTAAAATCCCTGAATGTCCAGAAGTGTGTCACTGTCGCATGCCAAGAAACCAGTCTTCATTCTTCAATCTAGAGGCACGGGTGGCCCAGTCGTAAGGCGCCGCGATTCGCTGTGCAGAGTTGCGTTCCTGGGCACGCCAGAAACCTATGATTGTGGGTTCCAATCCCGGTTCGCCCCGATCATGTTTCTAGGGTTGTCAGCACCATACCCGTGCTCGTGGGTTTCACCGAAGCGGTGAACGTCAGAGACCTGCATCACTTCGAGCTTTCTTCCCACATTAAACTTACACGCCGCGATATAACTGGAATACTGTTAAAAGCGGCGTTAAACCCAACTCACTCACTCTTCAATCTAGAATGTTGTTGGAATAGTATATACAGCGAGGTATACATTGAATAAAAATGAATCTCTGATATTTATGCATTTACTTCACGGTATATGTGCATGTTTTTGATGAAAGTTGTTTTCTTATGTAGTTGACATATTGCTAAATATAAACTCACTCATTTCATCTACATCACAATACAGTTGGGATCTCGGGCTTAAGAAACACGAAGATGTATTATTCTACTCAGACTTTCGCTTTAACCTTGGTAAACGGATCATCATGAACACGAAGTTAGATGGAAGCTTGGGTCAAGAGGTGCATGCCGATCTTACAATGGAGGTTGGACAAGAATCCCAGGTCCAAATAACCCTTCAAGATGGAGTATACAGGGTATGTACAGAATGTAAACGGCAAGCAGAGTAGAATACAGTGTTTATCTTTCAGTGGAATTTAAACTTCAGACAGCAGAGTATACCTGGAAATACAGTTGAATTTAATCTTAAGACAGAAGAGAATACATGTTTTGTGTAAGAGTTGAATGTAAACTTAAGACAGTAGAAAATACATGTTTATATATCAGTGGAAATGGCAAACAGGAGTATCCAGTGTATTTATATCAGTGCAATGTAAACTGCGGACATTCGTGTATATACAGTATGTTTATTTGACCTTTGTGATAATTAGTGTATATAATTGTTTTGCAAATAGCAGAGTTTCTTAAACATCTGGTTCAGACTTTGTGTATGAGGATGGTTAAACATTAAACATAGAATAAAGTAATAGCCGATCTTATTTCAGTTGGTAATCGATGGTGTCAGCATTCACAACTTCACCGAGAGACGCTCCGGGGCAAAACCTAACAGCATCTTCTTCTATGGTGACGTCTCTGTTAGTGTGATGGAGTGGATATCTTAAACCGAACCACTCGAGAGCAACGCAATGCCTTCATCACATAGGTTTTCATGAGCTCGTGCAGCGGATATGTTTATTTGTGTCATTTGAGACAATGATTGTATCCCTAAAATCAATACAGAATGTGTTCAGACTCATTACTCACTAACACTTTGATTCGATTTGAGAAATCACATATCTTCTTTGCCTGTTGAAAGGTTATGAGCACAATAAAACGAGCAAAGAGAAGTCATTCCTGTCATCTTTGGCTTAGCCAAAACCCATGACGTCAAGTAGCTTTTCAAAGGTATGAATGCAGTAAATGTGGAATATGTAGATTGATGACGTGGGGATCATCAGAAAGATGACATATCCCCCGGCAGCTGTCTGTAGAAGTGACCACAAGTAAATGTGCAATTCTGTATGTAATGAGTCAAGAGTTGAATGTTCTTTAAGAAGCATACATTGTTTACCAACAAAAGATCCACCATGGTCGCATCCATATGAAATGGAAAGTAAAACATGTGTTTCTGTGGGTTTTTTTGCAAACAAATGACGAAATGTCCCCCGCCTGTATATACACCATAGTACCAAATATGAAGACAATCCAGCGATTAGTTCTTGAGATGTTGTGGCAACACCGTTTTCCAACTCCAAAAGCAGATTTGCCTGCTGTGACCTTGAAAATGGGGTCAAGGTCACATTAACCGACTGGTGTCTGCGGTGTCTGTATATACACCATAGTTCCAAATATGAAGACAATCCGGCGATTAGTTCTTGAGATATCGCAGCAACACCGTTTTCCAACTCCAAAAGCAGATTTGCCTGCTGTGACCTTGAAAATGGGGTCAAGGTCACCAAAACCGACTGGTGTCTGTATATACACCATAGTTCCAAATATGAAGACAATCCAGCGATTAGTTCTTGAGATATCGCGGCAACACCGTTTTCCAACTCCAAAAGCAGATTTGCCTGCTGTGACCTTGAGAATGGGGTCAAGGTCACCAAAACCGACTGGTGTCTGCGGAGTCTGTATATACCCATAGTTCCAAATATGAAGACAATCCAGCGATTAGTTCTTGAGATATCGCGGCAACACCGTTTTCCAACTCCAAAAGCAGATTTGCCTGCTGTGACCTTGAAAATGGGGTCAAGGTCACCAAAACCGACTGGTGTCTGCGGAGTCTGTATATACACCATAGTTCCAAATATGAAGACAATCCAGTGTTTAGTTCTTGAGATATCGCGGCGAAAAACAGGTGGGACGTACGGACGGACGTACGGACGTACGGACGGACGGTCGTGAATACTATATCCCCCGCTCCGCGCTTTCGCGCGGCGGGGGACAATTACAAGAAACAAGCGTATAGTCAACGAAGTCATCTATATCCCCCACCCATTTGTAAACGTTATGGTCCCAAACCAGGTAACTGACCCAACATTTCTCTTAGCCCATGTCAAAATAGCTGCAATGGAAATTCTAAAATAAACATGTCTAAAACTCCTTAATATCAAATGGCACCTGTTCAGTATGTACTCTATATATTAGGACATGCAATGTTTGGCAAGGAAATATTTCACAGTTTAGTTATACAGTTATACTCCATAGGTGAACCCACCCTATATGAAAACTTAAATCCAACTTGTTGCCATGGAAACATAAAAAAATAAAAATTCCAAAGTAGCAAAAGGCACCAGTTTAGTATGTGCCTGGTAGACATGCAAAATTTTGTAAGAAAGTATTTAACGGTTTTCGAGTTACGCTCCGGAAACGAACACCACCCTTATAGAACCTTAGTCCAACTTGTTACCATGGTAACATGAAAATAAAAATGTATAATATTCCTTAATATCAAAAGGCACCAGTTCAGTATGAGTCTGGTAGACATGCAAAGTTTTGTAAGAAAGTTTTGAATGGGTTTTGAGTTATGCTCCGGAAACGAACACCACCCTTACAGAACCCAAGTCCAACTTGTTACCATGGAAACGTAAACAATAAAAAATTCTAAAATTCCTATATAGCAAAAGGCACAACTTCAGTATTTGACTGATAGATATAACAAGTTTCGATCAAATACACTGAATTATTTTCGAGTTCTGCCCCGGAAAAGGAAATGATTACGGACGGACAAACGGACGGACAGACTGACAGACAGACTGACTGATCGCTATATCCCCCCGCATTATATGTGGGTTATTCTAATTATTACCCATACTCAGTTTTGATGCTTTACGTCGTTTAAATGTGCTGCATCCACCCGGCCATCTCTAATGTATTCATCCTCAGAAAAAACAAGCGGCTTTTCACTACTAACCGCTTCACTCTTACCAATATAAATTCAAACGATATGCAATGTAGTACCAGAAAACAAAATTGAGAATTCTCATTAAAAACTGCAAACTCACGACTTTGTTTAACAACAATTTATAACAATTGATAATACATGTTACTGATAAAACTTTTAGTTATCAGAGACAAATAAATTTACAAAACAGTCAAGGCTAGGTCAGACCGTTGCCAACAGTCCCGGAAGCCAGAGGTGCCGAGAATGCACCGATGCTGTTACCGACGAATTTCGCTCAATATGTCAGTATTGTAAACTGTCATCTTCAACAACAATGAAACCTGGCTAAACAAAGTCACAAAGTCAATAGTTAAAGAACATGTGTGTCACGAAAACAGGTGGGAATGTCATACAAGAAGAATCAAGTCAGTCGCAGTGCGAGATGTTTGACCTAGATCTCGGCCGAAGTTTCAGAGTATCAAAGTTGGAAATTTGATCGATTGTTAAAAAATTGTGCATTAAAGTGATGTTAAAGTAATACAATATTGGTACTTTGTTTTTATTTGAAAAAAGATTCCGTATATTGTTCTAGTCAAAGTCACGCATTTGCGAGAATGACATCAGCATATAATTCATGAATGAAAGCACGTGTGGTTTGTGAATGAAATGTGAAAGCTCAAAAGTAGTTCCTGCAGTCAGTGTCAGCCAATGAAATAGCGTAGAATTTTAACCAGCCAATGAACACCGAGAATGACCAAAATGCACATGAGCAAATATCCAAAAGTTATTATTCTTTCCATAAGTTAGCTGTTCAAACTTCTATGCACCTTGAGTTCAATATAGCTGAAACGTGATCTAGTTACTAGTGATTGAGAAAGGGGATTTGTTGCACAAAACTGACTCAGTAACCACCACAGAGAACAAGGCTGCATGGTTTTGCCCTCTTCGTGATGGTGGTACCTGCATATATTTGGAGCAAAATATTTCTCCATCAACCTTAAACCTAAATTGGCATACATCACTGTCATTAACCCAAGTTCCATATGGCACACTTCGAACAGTAGATTTTCAAGTTAAAGGTCATCTGTCCTCACTCTGTCGATGGACACCATCAGAGCCCAAACTAACTGCCATTGTTGTCCCATGGGACCCGTACAGATTCCGGGGAAGAATAGGTCTTAAACAGCTTATGGCGACTATGCTTGTCGTAAAAGACAACTAACGGGATGGCTCGCTGACTTGGTTGATCCATGTCATCGATCCCAATTGCGTGGCGCGATGCTCATGAAATTAATCACTGGATTGTCTGGTCCAGACTGGATTATTTACAGACCGCCGTCATATAGTTGGAATATTGCTGAGTGCGGCGTTAAACAACAAACCAACCCACCAACCAACGTTGTCCCATGGAAGCACTCTGATCCCGAATTGTGTCCTGGGGAATGTTTATCCACTAAAGAATCGGATACAGAACAGGAAGAATAGTTTGAGCATGATATTAAATAATTGGATATAAAATAGGTGGAGTAGTTTGAGCCTGAGACTCAAGAATTGGATGGAAGACACAGGGAGTATTCTGGAAATATATTATAGGTTAAGTAAAGTATAGTGATTTAAGAGAGGCACCTGGAGTTTTTTTCCAAATTAAATTAAATATAAAACTGTAATAAATAACTGGTACTAAAACATCTGACACAATATTCGGGATTGTTCTTAACCTGGCATTTCAGAATAGAAAATGAGGAAGAGGGGTTGAAAACCTTTATAATACAAGATATGTTTGATCCTTTCTGTAATCATTTTAATTCAAAATAAGGGGAGTCATTGGGGCCCAGTAGGGGAGTTAGCTGAGTCTAGTGGGAGTGTTTTGAGCCTGGTTAGGGGAGTCATGTGAGCCCAGGCCCATATGACTCTCGAGTCACATTTAGGGGGTCGTTTGAGCCTACCACACCGGGCAGATAACGAGGGTGTCAAGGGCTTGGCCGGAATTTTGACTGTAAACAACAACTAAGCTGCTAACTCTATATTAATAACTGTCAAGGTTACTACAATGTATCGGTATTGTACGGGCGCCTCAATCAAATTTCTGCCACTTACAATCAGCACCACTGCCTCTAACAAAACTACTGCAACATATCGATATCTGGTATAAATCTTTTTGAAAACTTTACTAAGGGCATGAATGTTGTTACTCTAAAAGATTTGATAAAAAGAGTCGTATGATGCTCTCTGATAAATCTTCGTAGAGCATGTTTGATGTGTGGATTTTATATGAAGTCTCCTTTTTCATCTTGATTGAGATGATAATTTAGGACCAATGTGAGGTGAGAAAACATGTTAGCTATACAGACAGCCTCGTATTCTTAGGACCGCCTTGGGTTTGAAACCAGTAGCATGGGGCAATAAAGACATCTTTCAATGCCTGTGTAAGTATATCTTGAATAGATATGAATATATGAATAGAAGTGACAAAACCCTTCCCTAGCCACAAGTAATCTCGATTTTTCAGTTCCGACTGTATCATGAGCATGTGCTTATGAGTCAAACGGCAAGTCAACTGTTTAGTCAACTGTTCACTTGACAAAAACACAGGGACACATGGTACAAGTTAAAATAGGAAATGCACTGGACATTATTTTTGTCACTGATGCGTGGAATTGGAAAGGACCTCAGTGTGCCTACCATAAAACGTTTTGAAAGCTTTTATGGAGCCTTCGATGTTGCAAACCATCTAAGCAAGAGTTGTATGACGCTCTTTGAAATTTTGGAAGAAAGAGTATACTCGATTGTACCTTTAAAGTTGTGAAATGTAAACACTAAATACCGGAACTTCAGTAATATTGCTCGACAGGGAAAGTTGACGATTTGAAAGTTGAAGTCAGCCCTCTTGTAATACAGTCTTGTGGAGAGTGTTTTGTCACCCTGAATCAGTATGCATAGATCTGAATATGAAATGAATGCGGTGATCTCACTGGTCTCCTTTATTTATAGTCTAGGATGGTAAGTCAGTGCAAGGGAATTGGCTATTTAGTGGTTATTGAACGATATCAGATCATCGATACACCTAAACCTTGAGTTAAACTACTTGACCGAATTACCTTCTTTTGACTTCGCAAATCCGAGCGGCATTCCCAATCCATGTGCCTACGGAAACAGGTCGGCAAGACGGGGAGCACAATTGGTGCCCATGGGTTGCCTACGTCTTGCCTAAATGTCTTCCCCCAAGATTTGACAGATGCATTCAGAATTCCAGCATTTCACATATTTCTTTTTGTAAGTGAACTTCAGATGTCATTTGCTTTCTTTTTTTTACGAAATACCCTGAACTTCTGAAGATAGATATGTAACTGTATCCATGGTCACTACGTTTTGCAACAAAAGCCCCGTGTATCAATGAATGAAGTTTTTTCTTTTAGTTTGTCATGTGGGTTTGTGGTGTACAAAGTTGAGATTGCTTTGACTTAATGTCCACATTTGAGAATCCACAACGTATTAATACCACTTGTCTCAGATACTTTCTGCGAATATATATTTAAAGTCCTTCTTTGATTGTATGAAGGATAATGGTTAATCTTTGAGACAGGGATTTGAAAAGATCTGCATTTAGGGAACTGCAAGAGTGTCTCAGACGTGTATGTAAAATGTTAGCCCTTCGGCAGCCGGTTAAGAAGTACGGAGGTGGGGCTGTTATTATTGTTTTAATCATCTGTTTAAAATTTGACAATCATGCTGTACATATGTTTTCAGGGGGTAAGTCATTCCATAGTGTTTATTGAAGAAGGTATACATGAATGCTGGTATGTAGTATTTTGTTCATGTGGTGTACTGATAGTTCGTAACTCATATCTACTAATAGTTGATAATTTGGGTGGTAACATGTCATGTAACTACGATGGAAAATAAATTATAAAAATATGGTAAGTTGTACAAAACTATTAAGATTTTCTTCTATTAGATAGTGATTCCCATCCTGTCTCAAAATATAAACGCGATCTTGAAGAGAATTTAGGGAGACCTGTTACTATGCGAGCTGCTTCTAGTTGAATCATTTCAAGGTTTCGGAGTTTTCTTGACTACAGTTATCCCTTACCTCTGAAGCATATTCTAATATAGGTCTTGTTAAACGAGCTGTAATTTGGATTATGAAGTAAATGAGAATAAAGCCCAGATGTTTCAAGGAAATAGATGCGCAAAGAGCTGTATTGTTATAAATAATAACAGAACGTTTTTTACAATGGGTGAACAATATAAATGTTCTTTTATCCGGGTTAAACTTAACTAAACATATATTAGCCCGAGCTCTAAATCACTGTTTAATCTGTGTTCTATCACTTGTATGTGAAAAAACGATGTGCCATTGAAAGTATCGTTTTTCGAAAGGACGAGTAGAATTCTCTAGATTATCAGCTAGGTCATTGATGTAACCCCATAACAAGAAGAGGCCTAAGACTGATCCCTGTGGGACACCGGCTTCAGTACTTTTCCTAGATAAAAAGCTGCCATTATCAAAACGTCGCCCTAATTGTAATAAAGAAGTTGCTCATCCATAACAATTTTGTCTTAATTATCAAAACCCTTTCGTCTCCGATGACTTATATAGTCTTCTCACAATTGTAGTAGCTTTCCGGTTGTACCGTCTTTTTTTTATCTCAGAAAGTAATACTTTGTGCCAAACTCTGTCAAATCCTTCAGATACGTCACAAAATACCATACAATAATATTCATGCTGATCATCAAATGGAGCAATATCATTATATATTAATATTGATTGAGAGGTTGTATAATGTCCTGATTGATATTTGTACAGGAGATAATTCAGAATGAAATATTTATATATAAGTGTTTAATGACTAATCTCTCCTGTTATTTTCCAAAAATTGATAACAGGCTAAATGGGCTGTAGTTTTGGGGTAGTGTCACCTTTCTTGTATAATGGCATGATGTGGGCGAGTTTCCAGTTTTCTGGAAATATTGATTCTTTTAACGATCAATTAAAATAAATACATAATGTGATTGCAATCCTATCGGCTAAAGGTTTTAAAAGTTTGCGGTTTACATATTCTGGCCTGTTTGAATTATGGTTGTTAGTGACTTTATGAGATCACTTATTTCCGATTCAATGAGAATAATGTCCGATAGAGGGAGATCAAATGTTTGACAAGGTAATTAAAATCTGGAAACGGCTGATTACCATCAGCCACATTGCAAACAGAAACGAAATCGTTATTAAGTACACCTGCCTTTTCAACATCAGTAATACTACATCTCAATAATGTCCATTAGTGGGTACTCTTTGATTGGAGATGTGGTTCGAGCAAACTGTTAGTATTTTTACAGAAATTGCCTTTGGCTACTTTTTCATATTTTGAGAAAACACAGTTATGAGAAAAGAGTATTATTGAATACGTCACTAATAATCGTTTATTAGCGATACTTGTGTACTGAAAGAGTTATGAATGAAACCGATAGATTATTGAAATAGATTTGCTTGTCTTAAGTATTATCATTCAAATAAATGACATTTGTATCAGCTGTATTGTCTACGTTCTACCAGTAAGTATGCCTCCAGCAGCCCATGCTTGCCGTAAAAGGCGACTATGCTTGTTGTAAGACGACTAACGGGATCGGCTGGTCAGGCTCGCTGACTATGTTGATGCATGTCATCGTATCCGAATTGCGTAGATCGATGCACATGATGTCAATCACTGGATTGTCTGGTCCAGATTCTATTTTAAGAGACCGCCATCATATAGCTGGAACAGTGTTGAGTGCGGCGTTCAACAAAAAGAGAAAAGAAAAGTGAGTGAGCGTTAGTTGACTGTTTACATTTGTGCTTGATAACAGTCTTGTGTTTGAGTTTTGCAGCCGTGTGAAATACAATATAGAATTCAGGTACATTACCATATGACTATTTAACTTACAATTTGCATTGACCCTGCCCCATTGTACCTTAAAAAGACACGAAAGACTGGAGCTGCTGAAATTATTGCTCAATGTAAAGGCAAAGTTGGTTATTGGAAAGTTGCCTGATTGTCTTTTGAAGAGTTTTGGCATTGTTGGCATTCACGTTGAGCGGCATGCTGTCCAGTATTAGTAACACAAAGAGCATTCGTTTTCATTCGCAACTTTCAGTATTATCAATAATACACTAAAACCATCTAGATCGTTACTTCATCAAATGGATTAAACTGTTACCATCATTGCAACCTCGATAAACATACACCACCTCATGCGTCGTGATCCCATAATACTATTTCAATCCTTTTGTTATGGCTAATTTAATTTTCTAGAATAATTAACACGGACATTGACTTTTTGCCACAGAATGTCTACTTTTTATTGAGTGCGCAAATGATTTCGTTTGATAAACTTTCTGACACTTGACATGATGTTGAAAAGCGCAAGTGACTACAGAAGCGGAAGTGATCATGCGTGCGCATCCAAGATGGCGGCCTTTCCGGTTCCGGTGGCACATGCGCATCCAAGATGGCGGCACTTCAGGCTCCGACGGTGCGTGCATATCCAAGATGGCGGCACGTCCGGTTCCGGGAGGCGTGCGCACCTCAAAGAAGACGTCACATCCGGTTCCGGGGAGGAGGAGGAGGACATAAGAAGCGCTCGTAAATGAAAAAGAATTAACAGAAGCGCACGTAAAATCCTCCTCTTTCATTTTTATCACTATGATCTGAGCAAAAAACACGAGTTCACTGCATGGTAAAGTCATGCCAAAACTACACCAAGGCGAGTGTCGGCGCTGGTGATGACGTGGTGTAGCAGCAAGAGGAGGTTCATCTATACCCATGGATGCTGAGAAGCTTCTCTGCAGGGGTAGCAGTGGTGGTGGCGGTTCTGTCATCGGATGTGTCCACCCTCGTCTGATTTCAAGATGGGCTGTATTTCTTCAGGGTAAAAGGTTCCTTTGAGGACTTCACCATGATCATCTTTGATCCGATACATAGGAGGTGTTCTCCCTGTCACCAACCGGTCCAGCGTAAACAGTTCAGTTTTTTGTGCAGACGTACACGGGTGCCCGGCATTAAAAGAGAGGGGGATCTTGTCTTGTGGGACGACAGTCTTTGTGTTGTTATTTTCTTTTTTGCGCTGCTGCCGTTGTTGTTGTTCCTCTATGTAGTCTAACACCAGAATTTCTGACTGAGGATCTCCTGGGAGGACGTTCACAGGTCGCTGACCAATGATCCGATGCACACGACGGTTGTACGACTTGACCAACTGGGTAAGACTTTCAAATAGTGTCTGGTCCCATGCTGTGTCCTTTGAAACCGTTCCATCACGGCTGCTTTCGTTTCAGGATTTTGACTGGTGTAGAAATGAATGCCATGCTTCGTCATGAGAGCCTGGAAAGGGCAGTTGACAAATTCGCTGCCTTTGTCTGTTTGCAATTGAGCAGGGAGTCGGCCTTTGGCTTGTTGCATCAGCAAGGTTTAAAAACCTTCGGTCAAAGCAGAACTTCACTTGGCCTTTAGGGGTTGCACCCTGAAAACATTGATCATGCACAGCAGATATTTGAATCCTTGGTTGTCGTCTTGAAAGACAATCATGTCACTCAAGTCTGCTTGCCACAATTCATTGACGCCTCCCACACGATAGTGGTCTCTTGGAAAGGAGCGTCTGGCTGGTTTGTGCGAGGTGTAGGTACTTTGGGTTTGCAACCAACGCTTGATTTGACTTTGGGATGGCATGGTTTTCTTCTTGCTTTTACTGGTTCTTGCATGTTGAGCTTTACACAAAGGTCGCCAGCCTCCAAAACTTGAAGGATGTTCAGGATTAAAGTAGATTTTTTCCAACCAGGCCGTCCAAATGGAAGTAGGAAATCCTTTGTTTTGTTTCCGTGCAGCAGCAGTGGGAAGAATGCGCTGTCGCGTCTTGGTCTGTCGCTTCATTTCCCTCAGACTGGTGCCACTCAGTACATGAATGGCCTTTTATAGAGAGGGGAGAGATTTTTTTTCTTAGGTGGTGCTAAAGGGTATCCATGAACCTCGCCTGTTGATGAATCTGTCCTGTTTGGTATCAGACAGAGGTGGGGTCATCAACCATGGGGTTGGCATCTCATCTTTTTCTTCTTCCACTTGTGGATCCAGCTGTCGCAAAGGAGTTGGGGATGGCATCTCATCTTTTTCTTCTTCTTCAGCTTGTGGATCCATCTGCCGCCGCCTCCTTCTTCCTTTCTCTTTGTGACTTTGTGGGGAGAACTTGGGGAGGGGGAACTGGGTATTGGGTGTTTTTGGTGTGGCACGAGGATGTTGTTGCTGCTGCTGCTGCTGCTGCTTCTGCGTCCATTGCCATCGTTGAGGATTTCCAATCATTTCATGAGGGACATGACTGTTGGCCAAATGGTGACTCACTAAACCGTTGATCAAGTCCACAATGTGGGTGCCAGGGACAGGTTTCCCTTCCACGGTCAGGTTTCCCTTCCACGGTCAGGGTCCCCTCTGGAGTCCAACTCAAGTCGGAACTGTTTTGAATCAAATTCAATGCTTTACTGGACATGGCTCTAGGGACACTCATGACCACTTCGTCTATCACTTGTTGAGGAGGGGCAGGTCTACCTGTGGTGACCATCGTTGAAGGTGACCATCGTTGATGGTGATGGCGGTGGTTGTGGTGGTGTCACTTTGGGTTGTAGTGGTTTTATGTTGTTGTTGTTGTTGTTGTGCTGTTGGCGCTGCAACTCTGGCATGCATTGCAACAGTTGGTTATATTCTTGTTCCCGCATCTGAAAAGGCTGCTGTGACCTCTGCATCAACGCGTCCATCTCTTCCAAATTTTGGAGACGTTTCTTTTCCAAGAGAGGGGTGTGAAGTGTCTGACGATGACGTTGTTTGGTGGCCTGTAGACTTTGCCATGTGTCTTCAGGCACCAACACCATCTTGCGTGCGTACTTCATGGTGACACACCACACACTGATCCAAACCTTCCTGGTGTCAGACAATTTATTACTTTCCTCCAAACAAAGAGGCTAGGGCAGAGCCAATAAGAGCCAGATTGTCCAGAACCCAGTCGAAAGAAGACTCCCCAGGGCCCATGTTACAACTGCCAAGTCGTGGGCCATTACCCTGCAGATTGCCCAGAAGACTTCAGCAGCGCCGTCCATGTCGACACCAGTGACACAAGTGACACAAGTGCTTCATCTCATAGAAGCCATGCATATAGAAAGCACTCTTCAAAGCTTCGGCAACGTCATCAGTCCGAGGAAGAGGAGGAAGAAGAAAAAGAAGATAGATCATCTGAGCAAAGTGACTAACGCATGGCACATGCTGCTCCACTGTTTTTCAAGTTTCCAATCGTTTCCAGTTTCCAGTGTTCCAGTGTTCCTACAGTTTCCTGCCATTTTCAGGGCCACCAATCTCTCCCGAAAGAACGCTTTCATCCATTGCTTTGACTACCCTCAAACCAAAACAAAGAACCCACCTCCTCCTCCCCCGCCTCCCTCCTGCTCCTCCCTCCCTCCCCCTCCTCCTCCTGCTCCTCCCTCCCTCCCCCTCCTCCTCCTGCTCCTCCCTCCCTCCCCTCCTCCCTCTACCACCACCACCACCACCACTTTTCTTTAAAAAGAAGAAGAAAAAACGAGCGCTTCTTATGTCCTCCTCCTCCTCCCCGGAACCGGAAGTGACGACCTCTTGGAGGTGCGCACGCCTCCCGGAACCGGACGTGCCGCCATATTGTATGAACCCGGAACCGGAAGTATCGCCATCTTGGATGCGCACACACCACCTGAACCGGAAGTGACGCCATCTTCCGGTTCTGGAGTCCTGCCACCAACTACTGACTACTGACTACTGGGCGTGGACCTACTCGTTTCGTTTAGTTGAATAAAGTCAACAAACACTGCAAATAATGAAATTATTGGATGATACCCAAAATATTTACATTCTAACCAAATGATTTCATAGCAAAATAACGCAGATTATGAAACATAATCAAAATATTTCTACTTTTATATATCATCGCTGAAACGAGAAGCACGTATCGCATCTCACACATCGAGACAAAGTATGCAAAAGTTTGTAAACTATCATTGAGAAATTTCCGAAATAGATTCAAAATAAAAAGAAAGGACATAATTTGCTATTTGCTATGATCTTCACCTGATAAGTATTGATGCATATTGACCTGGTTAGCAGTCGCGGTTGTCTTTACTCCTATGTTGTATATGTCTTTAAAATATTGCCTGTGCATATTTGAATCATGCCATTACTATGTTTTATTATTCTGCTTTTCAAGAGGAACCGGCTCAAACTTTTAGGCATCAATATATCTCCAATAAATCGAAATTGTTCTTCAGCTCATGTTGGTGTTGAGGTCGGGGGTATTAGTAAGCCCTGCTCACTTTTTGCCTATTTTTGTTCCAGCAGTACATGTAGCACAAAATGGTGACATAAAGCCATGGGGTGTGGCCGACAGGAAAGAATACATCTGGTAAGGGTAATCATGTATACAGGGGCATTTCTTTTCACTCCAATCAGACGACTTGAGACATGTAGAATACTATAAAGAGCTATATTGACTGGACATTCTGAAACCCATCAAATGGCCAAAGATGATGGTGATGATCTGCATCTATTTTAATTTTGTTTACATCACTTTGACTGATAGACGGAAACCTGTTCACCACAGTTCTCAATGGTTCATGTTCCCTTATGGATATGAGCGTCAAGGTCAGAGACCGGATCATTTTGCAACAACCCTTGTGAGACCAGCCAGACTAATTACACATTATTTCATTGGTGAGAACGAAGAACAAAATACATAAGGTAGTATGTTTCCCATGTACTTTTCGCTAACAGTGAGTGAGTGAGTGAGTGAGTTTAACGCCGCTTTTTACAGTATTCCAGTTATATCACTGCATGTCAGCTTTTTAATATGGGAGGAAAGCCTGCAGTGATACACGTCTTATACGTTCACCACTTCAGTGGAACCAACAAGCAAAGGTATGGTGCTGACATATCGGGGAGAACCGGGATGGTTCTAACAGAATAGAACTGCAATCATTGTCATTGCACATATGTGCCCTGTTCCTTTTTAAAAGATAACATTCTCTGATAAATATATGGCTAGCTCACCAGCTGAAGTACCACTAAGGTTTTTGTGATAAAACAAACCAAAATGTTAAATATTGTTACAAAAACCGAATTTATTAAATTCGTATTACAGTTGGATCTTTAGCTGTGTTTAGTTTGGAATCAAACCACTTAATACACAAAATAATGTGAATATGAGTTTTGTTTGGATATGTTATTGATCGTATCTATTTATTTATAATTCATGGAATACAAACATTAAATAATGGCATCAAATTGATCAAGTTTGAGTGTTTATATACAATGATTGTGGAAAAATAACCTACTTAATATAAAAAAAATAACTGAAAATGCTTCAAGCTGTAAATAGCTGTGAGCAATAAAATGTATGTTCAATAACGGAATAAATATTGAAAATATTATATGAAAGTGCTGGACCGCTCTTTCTGTTATACTTTTAAATGTATTATTTGTAAGTGCAAAAATAAGTAATATGTCCCAATGTTTTTTGTGAAACTAATACTGAAATTATGTATTTCTTATTTTAGTAATATATTCTGCAAAAAAAGAAACGCAAAAGTAGGGGTGAGTGAGTGAGTGAGTTGGGTTTAACGCCGCTTTTAACAGTATTCCAGTTATATCACGGCGTGTCAGCTTAATGTGGGAGGAAAGCACGAAGTGATGCAGGTCTCAGACGTTTACCACTTCAGTGAAACCCACGAGCACGGGTATGGTGCTGACAAACCTAGAAACATAATCGGGGCGAACCGGGATTCGAACCCACAATCATAGGTTTCTGTCGTGCCCAAGGGACGCAACTCTGCACAGCGAATCGCGGCGCCTTAGTCGACTGGGCCACCCCCAAAAGTAGTAACATCATGAATAGTTGACAGAATGTTGCCGACATCCATACAAAATTAACACCAAAAATGAATTTGACATTTCTGCATGGAGTGGGATTGATTTGTCTGGAAAGAATGAGGTACTTCAGAGATTTGGTGAAATGTTGAAAAAATCGAGAAAACACAACCACGTGAGAGCCTGGCGCTGAAACACACGAACATGACATGCATGTTCAACATCACTTGTTGGCAATAACTACATCCGCCGACTGCAAACAGGAGAATCCTCTTCAACTGTAGCCAGGTTTTACCACGTAGCACCAAGCACCATTCATACGGCTACGTCACTTACGTGAAGGAACCACCACGTCCACCTCTGCAACTACGGCAATACCAGAATTGCGTAGGATATCAGCTCAGACAGTGAGGAACCGTTTATGCACTGAAGGTATGCACATTCAGTTGGAGGTGTCATTTTGAAAGACCAGCATCGTTGGCTGCGACGTCAATGGTGTCAAGATCAGTCACAGATTATTGCCACACATGCGATGGAGACAAATGGATGGTAAAGGTTGTGTTACAGGCGTCGCGGGAAACGTTATTACGAAACTGCAAACAGGAGGTGGATAGATTTGGTGGTAGTAGCGTGATGATCTGGGCGGAAAACTCCTACACTGGTAGAAAAGACACGGTGCAGGTTCTGGGGAATTTAACGGCACAGCGTAACACGGGTGAGATTGTTCGGCCACATGGCCTTCCCATTATTGAATAAGCGAAAGTCAGTTTAAGAAACGCCCGACCTCACACAGCAAGACTGACAGATCTTTCTTCAATTGAACACATTTGGGATGAAATGAACCGCCGCCTCCGACGTTTACACCTGCTCCGTCTACAGTACCGGAACTGAGAGACAGGCTGGTGGAGATATGGGATGCCAACCCAAAATGCTGTGTTAGACCTTTCATCCGTTCAATGCGAAGGAGATGCATCCACGCGAGAGAGGGACGCACACGCAACTGACGTGTGAATTGACAATTTTGTTCTTGCGTCTTTCTCTTTTCATAACGTCATTTTCTGTGCTAGACATGTGGCATAAAATGTGTAAACTTGTTTTACTGGTCAATAGTATGTTTGAAAATATGAATTCTTTCAGATGTGTGCGTCTACTTTGATCAGGTCCTTGTTTTATATCGTGTCACAGGAACTATTGTTGCTGAGAATAGTTATTTGTGAATAGTATTCTGGGTATGATTTACTGTTATGCTCTTTAACGAAAGATTATCAGCTAAATACGTCCGTCTGAGACATCACATTCGGTGACCTTTACACATACTGAAAACCTGAAACATTGCTGTCAAAATCTTTTATTTTCGTTTCTGTCTCGTCACATTAAACTTACAATGACATATGGAACACTCGTCGATTTTGAAGATCGCCAAGTTACGCCAAGGCATATATATAAAGGCAATATAAACTATGTTGATATTAAAATAGAAAGAATTTATACTGAGGTCGGGCGAAGCGCGCCATGATTGACTTTCGTGAATCTGCTCGTTTTACGACACGGGATTTGTATTCTTGTAACATAAACTATACAACCATAACACTTGCTATTAGAATTGGTGAATATTTATAAGTCATTTTTTGTATCCTACAACTTTTATAGCATGACACGCTAGATTAACCCTACTATTCTAATATCAGCATTTGAAATGATGACATCGAATGTTAAGTTTTTACTCTGTTGTACGTTTGTTTGACTAAAATGGATTAACTGAAATGATTCATAATTTACCATCAACCTGTTGTTAGCCGATAAAAAATGCTAATTAATAATGAGTTAAAATTGATATTTCAGAGATATGACTTTCGAAATCAGCTTGCATATATGTAACGATTTTTGTAACAGTTTATGTTGGCTTTGCTCTTAACCAATTATTGTGTCCCATGTTTGATGAAGTAGCGACTATTTTAAGTCACCCACCATTTACAGGGCCTTATGCTAAAACAATACAGTAGGCTAA